AAAACAACTATGTTGTTAAAGCCTGTTACACAGTCTTGGTGTCCTGTCACCACAGCCCTATCACAGTTAACACCAGGTCACCCAGGTCCTCCAACAGGACTAGCCAGTGCTCAGGGCTCTTCCAACTTGACCTGGAGCACTCGGCCCCTTCCTCTTCTGCACATGCCCCACACACCTCTGACGTCCTCTCACCTGCTCCTGCACAGCCTGTTCTGCTGCTCTCCCAGACCTCTCAGCATGACTTCTGTTCTGGACCTCTTCCCAGCACCTCAGAACCCACCAAGCAGTGGAGTCATTTCTCTTCACCAAAGATATCACTTCCTCCTCACCCAGGGCATTCTAACAGGACTTCACCTGATTATTTTTTCCAGGTTCACAGCTGAGCACCTTGAAGACAGAGTATCTGTGATCTTTCAAGTTTGATGTAAATCCATGACACTCTAGAACCTTCTGCACCACTCTACTAGGACAATTTTGCAGGTATCTGTGATCTTCCCCCTGAAAACAGCTTGATTGCTGCTGCAGCTCAATCACCTGTTCTGAAACCCTAGCCATCTCTCAGCCTTTGTTTGCTTGGAAACCCTTGCACAGGTGCCCTGGTACCTCCAGAGATCCAAACTCCCCTGGGTACCACAGGAACCCTCCCTTGGTTTTTACGTTAGTGTCATTAAGAGAGTGAAGGTGGCATAGTGAGTCCTGACTCCCGCCCCTCTCTGTGACCCTGATTACTGAGGCTCTTTGCCCACCTAAGTAACTGGGTGGGAAAGTGGGCTGATTTAGAGGTCAAACGGTCTAACAGATCAGTGCCAAAACCAGCAGAATTCAAGGAAAGAGCGCCCCTACCTCCTACTGCTGCACTACCCCAGCCTGGGCCACCCTGCTCTCTGGGAAACTGGGACAGCCTTTCCCTGCCCTTGGCAACACACAAGCCAGCTCCTCCTTCCATCCAGATCCCCTCCAGTGTCTGTTCCTGCAGGCCTTCCTACTCCCCCAGGAGCCTGCAGGGCCCTCTTGGACTTCTATTTGTACACTCTGTTTGCATAGCTGTGTCCTTGGGGCCTTCAAGCCACATGCACACCAGTCCCATTGCAAAACCCTATACTGCTGCTGCCCCTATTTCTCTTACTCTACCCTGGTCCCAGCAGCCACACCCAAGGAGGCAGAGGAAGAGAGGGAAGGCAGGAGCAGAGAGCCAGCAGAGGTTTCTGCTTGTGGTCCAGGAGGTAGACTTGGACAGCCCATGAACTCAAGCCTAAGCTTGACAAACGGGCACACCCAGCATCCTTACATCACACCATATGAGTGCTCCCATCCCTGAAGGTTGGTCTCCTGGCAAGAGAGACCAGGAATCCCAGTATTCCAAGGCTTATCTGGCATTACTTGGCTTCCTGCTCTGCCTTAGCCAGGACAAGTCCCTGGCTGTGCTGCAATACTGAAGGAGTTAATATTCCTGCTTGTCCCCTGCACTAGGGCTTGGAAGCTCCAACCTGTGGAGGGTGGTGACCCCTCGAGAGGCCCCAGCCAAGACCCTCCCAGAAATCTATTTCCATGCTCGGGCAGCTGCCCAACATCCCTCAGCCCACCAGCTGAACCAGGGAGGTTTGATGGATGAGAAGGTGGATATAGGGTTCCCCTAGGAGAATCATCTCATTTTATGGGGAAGGAGCACAGGAATGGGGAGCCCCGCACCCAGCAAGCGGCCAGGCTACAGGCGTCCAGCTGCCGCCAGCAGCATGTGCAACTCATTACCTCCACCAGCCTCCCATTTGCAGCCACAGATGACGCCACGTGTGTACTGGTGGGACTGGGGCCACAGGGCCAGTAGGGCTGTGATGTTTTTCTGACATTAACACCCCTCTCCAGTCCTACAAAGCACTGCAGAGAAGCCAGGCCCCAGCGGGCCTCCACCCACCCACTCCCATGGCTCTACCTCCACCACCTCCTAGCGTCAGGCGCGGTTAGACTCCCGGCTGTACGGGCATAAAGCAAAGGCAGGGAAACGGAAGGTGATAGAGAGAGGAGGGAGAAGGTGGAACAGGAGAGAGAGAGAAAAGGGGTAAGGGCAGGGGGAGCTGGCCCTGACTTGATCCTGCTCAGGAGGGGGCAGATAACAAACGTGCTGGCTGAGATCCTCCCAGGCCACTGAGGCAGGATCCCAGGAGATGACTCAGTCAAGCACTCAGAGCAGGGATGGGCCTGCTGGCATCAGGGACAGGGGATGAGCTGGTGCCGAAGCACACCAGAGTTGGGCAAGGTGCCTTCTGAGGGGGAGGACAGAGGAGCCAAGGGACTGACAAGCCCTCCCAGCACCTTGTCACCTTGAAAATGACACAGGAGAGGAGTGAAGACAGCATGGGCCCCAAAGAAAGGAGAGAGCTTTTCCCAGTGCCACCTCCCACCTCTGGCTGCTGCATGATCTCTCTCTGCCCACACCCATCAAATAAGAGCTTGCCCCCACAGTAGCACTATCTCATGTGATTCCTATACCCTTTATGTCCTTTGCTCCAGTATTCTGGTTGTATATGTTGTATGGGGGGGGGGGTTGGTTAACCATGGAAAGGCAGGTGTCCTGGGGAGACATAAATGCTTGCTGGCTGAGTGTCTTCCCATGAACTTGTCTCTAGCACATGGCTTGTGGTGGCTGGAGAGTATGCTGGCCAGCTGTCTTGAACACAGCTCTGTCAGACAAGAGGCAGAGTCCATGTTTGAACTCCCACTCACCACCCGGGGTCTCCTTCCTGATTGGTTCCTTCAGGGAAGATGACCTGCTGGCAGCTCTTGTCACTGCTTGAGCAGCCTTGGGCAAGTCCCTTGCCAGCTGTCATGGTTGTCCTGAGCACCTGCCAAGCACAAGGCCCCCAGAGGATTCAAAGCACAGCAAGGCACCTTCTCAACAGCTCACATCTTTATTACTACCAAGAAGGACAAACAACCTCGCAGTCCAGCATCATGGCCACAGCCAAGTAGGCCAGATCCCCCCCGCCAAGAAAGACCATGGAGGAGCATTCTAGAATTTGGACTTGTAGCTCCTGGGAACTAGGGCTTCAGGGGATGGATGGATGTTGTGAGATAGGATGGGATGGGGACAAAGAGTGAAACCCATGAGGAGGGCACAAGAGCCCAGAGGCAGTAAGGCACAGGCAGACCCCATGGATTCCCATGGAGGGTCACAGGCAAGGCCCAAGATTCAGCCTCCCAACCTGCATTGGTTGGAAAGGCTGTGCCGGGCACTGCCTGCACACTCACATGACACCTGCATCAAAGTCCTAATCTCATCCTAAGTATTTGGCCTTCTCTTGTTGCACATTTGCTCCCCTGATGTCAATCTCTCCAGGACCAGCCACCACCAGGGGGAAACGACAGTATCTCTGCCCCTCTTCTTCCATCTCACCCAAGGACACTTCTAAGGAACTGAGAGTTCCTCCCCAGCCTGTATGTCACCAATCTTACTTATCAAAGGCTCGCTGGGTGGTCCCCAATCCCATCTCCCTCCGACCTTCACCTTCTGCCCCTTGCCCATGGCCAGGCCCCTCCCTTCTTACTCTCCCTCTCCTGTAAAACTCTCTAGAATCAAAGAAGCAGCAAACTCCTTTGGAAACAGATCAAACTTGGCTAGGAATCTCCCAAGTCCAAGTTCACCACTTTGTTCCCAGACATGAAAGAGAAGTGGGGAAAGCAGGGAATGCAGGCAGTAATTAGGCGATAGGTTTCACCTCAGCAACGCCCTCCCCCAACCCAGCAACTAGGGACCAAAAGCGAAGGAGACCCAGAGAACCTGGAAATGAGACTTGGTTTTGTTGCCTTCAGATTTCAAGGAAGCCTCTGTTCCTTCAATCAGTACTTACCACCTGTGGCACACGACTCGGTTAACCAGCATGGGTGCCCACCCTCATCCAGCCTGGCTCCTGGCACAAGGGAACACACCACCCAAGGCAAACCCAGTAAGTGATGATGGGCTCTGTGCATCATTGGGGTGGGAAACAGCCTGGCAGAAGTGGGCAAGGAAAGTGGAGAAAAAGGAATCACGGTGGACAGCAAGGCCTCAGGGAGGAGCCAGGCTGAAGAAAGAGCTGAAGGGATCTGGATGGAATGCCAGGCTGCTTGGCCCATGCCCAGCTTGTTGTGGCCTTTCTGGGAATGAAACATCAGTTGGAAAACCAATCTCTCTCTGTCCAGCCCCATCCTGCTCTCTAATTTTGCCTGTCCAACAAATAAGCACACATAAACGTTAAGGTTGTTGGTCTTCGAAGACCTGCCTGTCAGCTTCCTCATGTCCCTCCTGCCTGTGGGAGTGACACCATCCTCTCCCCCCACATGCTGTGACGCAACATACATTTTCTGAGCATCTGCTGAGTGTCACACACTTGCTGAGCATCTGCCTGTGCTGGGTGCCCAGGGTCAGGCTGCAGGCAAGGTGCTCTGGGCACCACTGGAGCCAAGTGTGCATCAGTTGGGTTCAGAGTTGCAGCCACTCACCAGCCCCAAGATGCAGAGCCTTGGGGTTGCTGGCTGGAGGACCGCTCGGCAATACACCCCAGGGAAGCTGTGTGTTTCCCTCCTGGCTACTCACCCCAGACCAGTGTAGGCTGGAAGTAGACTGGAAGCTTTGCACCTGAAAAGGTTGGTCTAGGATAACTGGTTCAATCTTGTCTGACTCCACCTTGCCCTCACAATGACCAAACAGCTGCCCTAAGCCATCAGCAGACTTGGGGCTAGAACATCTTTTTGATTCATGAGCTGTGGATTCCCTCATACTGTTCTCAGACTCAACTAGACAAGCTCTTCTGTGAAATGGGCCCACATCTTGCTCATCACACAGGTGTGTCATGATGAATGAGTGAAAAATCAAACAGACCTTTCCAAGCATGAAGTTCAACCCTAGGATTGATACCAAGGTTGCAGGTGGTGGGAAGCAGCTCCTTCCTCACCCCAAGGGCAGCATCAGAAGCACTCACCACCATCACTTGCAATTGGCTAAGATCCAGTGTAGAAGCACTCACCATCCTCGCACAGGTTTAGCTTAGACAGGCTCCTGCCATCAAAGGGCTCCTCGAAGATGGAACCGGTGTCCCGGTCACTCACGGTGTGCAGGTACATGCCTTTGTTTTCCATTACGTCCTACAAGTGGCAGAGGTGGCAAGAGGAGAGGGAGGGAAGAGAGAGACAGAGAGAGTCAACTGCAGGTAGAAGTGGAAGGCAAGGCTAGAACAAGGTGCCCACTGCTGTGTCCCCGAACTTGTGCCCTGGGGTCTCTCCACACCCCCAGCCACTCCTCATCCTCCAGGTCTTTGACACCCCTGTGGACCTGACGGTGGGCTCTGTCACTTTCTTTCACTAACTCTTGGAGCTGTGAACTGGGGACAGGGCACCACAGGGAGTGGTCTAACAGCCAACTCAGCTGACCCCAAAGGTAACTAGGAAGCATTCTCAGAAGCCCCCAGCACCCTGGGCACATCAGAGAGACCTGGCCTTCTCTTGATTGAAAATGAAGGAAACCAGGTACAACTGGGGTGTGGAGATCAGGGTGCAAGGCCACCAGCCAACACAGGTGTAGCCTGGTGAGACCTTAGCGAGGAGTCACCGCTCACGGAAGCCCTAGGGGTCCTAGAGATGCTCCAGGACTGAGCAGCCTCAGGCCAGGGGAGGGTTGGAGCCAGCATTGGCATGATACTGACCCACAGGGTGCTCGGGCTCACCCCACAGGATTCCAGGAATGAACCCAAAGACCCAGACAGATCCTGTTGCCAGAGAAATGGCCCCATACACTTCAGTGAGCATGTGAACAGAGTGAAGGCTGCAACTGGAGATGCTACAGCTTTCAAAGGGTGATGGAGTGTGGGACTCAGGCTAGACGGGCAGGTGGGGCCTAAGTGTCCTCTCATGGGTGGGTTCTCTGGACTTCTCAGGTTACATTTGTACTTTTGATATCACAAGACAACTCTCATCTCTAAGTCAGTGTGTTCATTGACATAAAAAAACCTGATCTTACACACATGCTCAGATGTTACAAATCACTCCATACTTTCACTCAGTTCCAGCCATCAGTTCTTTCATTTCTGATGTTCTTTCTTAATTGTCTGGATATCCAACCAAAAACACCCAGGTTTCAATGATGGGGCACCCTGCAGGTGGCAGGAAGGTGGACAAAACCCATTGGTTGAAGGGCTCAGAGGCAGGGTGGGAAGGGAGGCTGTGGCAGGAGGGCTGTCTCAAACGTCCTGCCAGCCTGAGCAAACCACAAATCCCAACCGCCTCCTTCTCCTGACTTGACTTGACCCACAGACCTCTGAGTTTAGGGCTATGCAGCAGCTGGAACTGACCAGTTGTCCAACTTTCCTTGCAAGAACTTAGGGCTTTTGCTTTCACTTCTTTAAGTAATAAGACTACGTGTGTCACACACACACACACGGGTGTTTTAAGACATTCAGAGGAAAAATGCAACAAAAAGATGAGTACGTTGTGGTGCAAAAAAGTTTAAATCCATGTTGTTTTCATAATATGCAAGAACTTGCTGAGGCTCCCTCGCACACACTTGCTCACTCACTCACTCACTCACTCACACTCACAGCATTCCGGGTCCCTATGGGAGTGACAGAGGCGGGGGTGGTCCACAGTGCAGCCAGGATCTCTGCTCCCTGCCCAAACACCTCCCAGCCAGGCTCTCGGCGCCACAGCAGTCTCTGGTCTGCACTTCTCCCAATACAGCTTTCAGCCCAGGTCCTCCACCCAGGGAGGGCCTCCAGCTCCGTCCCCGGCAGGCTGCAAGGGACCCTCCCTCATTTCCCCCCATCTCTGTGTGGGCTCCCCTCCCTTTGGCGCTGCTCCTAGCAAGCCACACAGCAGAAGGCCAGTATTGCTTCTGCCTGTGATAACCCTTACTCTACTGACACCCAAGGGACATCCAAGGCCCGCTGAGTGCTGCCCTGTGGTGTGGGGGAAGGGAGCCCCCTTGACAATCCCCCACCTTCCTGCTCTGGATAGCTTCAGGAGCCAGGAATGCATGTGCCTGCAAGCTGCCCCTCCTCTGCCTGCTCCACACCCCACAGCTGGTGGGAGCAGGAGCCCACTGGGGAGAGGGCCTGGGGCCGAGAGCACAGCCAGATGTGAGAGGGCTTTGGAAGCGCTCAGCCTAGGACGCTGCTTGGAAAGGAAACTGGAGCCTGTCCTGCCTGCTTGGGTTCTGTTTGAGGCTCTCCGTCTTTCTTAGAGAGTCGGGCCAGGCGTTCAGACCCTCGGGTCATATAGGTGTCATCATCCCCTGTAGGCCACTTGCAGGCTCTCAGTCAAGACACAGCTGACTGTCCACTGTGGCAACTGCAGCATCAATGGCTGCTATGCACACACACGCCCTGTAGGGCCCAATGTCTCTCCTCTAGGGTCTCCCAGTAAGCACCACCAAGCAGCACTGTGGAAGGGGGTGGCCTGGTATCCTATCATTCCCACTGGAAAGAGAAACCACCAAGACTCAAGAAACAAGGACGGCAAGATATCAGAGCAGGACCAGGCACTGGCCAGGGGCTCCCCTGCCCATAAAACTGGCTTGGGCATAGAATTGCTTGGCCCAAGATGTGTCACCCCTTGTAGGGCCACCCTACATTCCCCAGCAGGTAGGGGTCCAAGGTGAAGGAAGGGATCTGAGGAAGGGACAAGGGACTGTGGCCAGGGTGTGAAGGCCACGGTGATTGGGGATGCGGGGAGAGCGAGGCGATCCTGTGCACAGGGAGGGATACCTGATTGACCAATTAAAGCTGAGATTCCCTTCCCAGCCCTTACCCTCGGCCCAGCAATTTTACCTAAGATGCTTTAAGGGACAGGTGAGAGGTCAGTGATAGTTCTACTTCCAGATTCTGTATCTTTGAGCTGCAAGTCCCCACCCCCATCAAACCCCTAACCTCCCTCCCACTTCCCTCCTCTTCTCAACCAGGAGGTGGCTTATGCAGGCTTGTGGGGAACAGGGAGCTAAGAGGATGAGAGTTCCCAAGCTGGTTCTGCATGTTTCCTAACTTGGGGAACTTGCTCCAGTCCATACACCTCATTCAGTCTCAGGACACCACCCCTAAGATGGGAAGGTCCTTGTGTGCCAGCCCCTGGGGGACCTGTGCACATGGGTAAGAAAACACAGGAGTACAGAAGGGCCTTGTCACAAGGCCACTCAGGAGAGGTACCAACACCCCCAGCATCTTCTCACCTTCTTGCCCAGCCATTCCCAGAAACAAGGTTTTTCCAGGAGACAGGGATGGGCAGGGGGAGCGTGGGGAGTCCCTTGGCAGGCAGGAAGAACCAGTCACGAGCTGAAACCTGGACCCCGACTCTCCAAGTCCCTGCCTGGGCAGCAGAGGGATGCGATCACTTCTTCCTGCCCGAGCGCTGGCACCAACCTCACCTGCTGCTCTACAGAGGGATCTTGAGCTTTCTGGGGCTGGCAGCTTCTCCTGGCATCACTCAGTTTTAAACTCATCAGCACCCAGGAGATGTCGCCATGAATGTGGCCCCAGGGGAGCATCGCTTAGTAGCTCTTCAACCCTTTCCTCTTCCATCTGCATACCCCAAAGTGGAGAGGTGCACATGCCCACAAACAGTTCCTCCTTGACGTCAGACACCCTGCCCTTGGGCATGTGTGGGCACCCTGCACACTAGCAAGGGTGGGCAGCAGTAACACCAACTTCCTGAGTGGGCTCCTAAGCCAATGCACAGAGCAGGCAGAGTTACCACCAAGGCAACAGTTTCTCTCCGGCACCCAAACATATCCTCACATCCTCCAGCCCAGGCACTGCATGAGGGCCCTGCCAATGACTGTGGCTCAGCCAGCTGCGATCTTTCCACCTGCAGCGCGTGCCTCAGCCCTACCTGCAGACACACACACATACACACACCTGAAGTACTCCGCTCCACTCAGCATGTCCCGGGCTCCTCCAACTGCCCTGGGATGCCACACCCCAGACAGGCAGGTGCAAGGACAAAGCCAGGGCTAAGACTCACCTGAGGGACCCTTGTTGAAACTTGCAGAAACCCCTGCCCTCAGTTCCTAGCCTTCGCCATGGTGGTCGGAGAGAGCAGGCTGCCCCCTATACTGCGATCCAGGCAGCCCCTCACAGCTCGTCCCCACGACTAGCCAGATCCAAGAGAAGTCATAGAAGGAGGCTGCAGGGGTACCCAGTGACTCGTCCCAGGACAAATCCCAAGGGGGTTGTCACTTCTGCAAGATGACCAGGTCGGGAGGAAAAATTGGATCCTGCGGCCAGGTTGATTTCTGCGCCGGGGACTCCTTGTTGTGGAGGTCTTGGTCAGCCTCAGGCAGCAGACGGCAAGGTTCCGTGGAGCAACTCAGAGCTGTGCTAAATACTGACTGAGATGTGAACTGCAGCTGCTCCCGCCAGCAGTCTTTATGAAAAGCTGTTGGAGCAATTGCAGAGGCAATAGCGCTGGGGTCTGGAACACGGCCCCCCTCTTGTGGTCAATATTAGCATTACATCTCCCATGCAAAGATCAGCTTTGGCTTTGGGACTCCAGTGACAGTTCTAAAGGCCCTTGCTAAAAAAATATTTTTTTGGAATGCTGCTGGAGGAATAGCAGCTAGACTTGATTTCAGGAGCTGTACAAGAAAACCAATCTTATAAATTTATTTATAGGACTAAGTAGGCATTGGTTGGCCTGGAATCACTTTATATATTGCCCCGAAGTCACATCCACCCCCGCTAACAGGCACTGACTGAACCACACTGGAGACATCCAGACATTCTGAAGGAACTTCCCAGAGCAAAGCACCCTGAGTCCGCCTAGCTGGTGAACGCCTGTCAATCCAAGCACGACCAATTCTGCCTTGTAGCTAGGGCTCCAATTTAGAGAGCTGTATCCCCTGTACCTCGGTTGGATCCCCCATTCTATCCGACTCCAGCTTTGTGCTAACACATGGCCTGGGAGGGAAAGGGGGATAGCTCAAGCGTCCGGGACCCTACCACCCAGGAGGGAACTTGGGAGTTCTCATGTCCCAGCCACTGCAGGCACCTGGGGGGTGACCTAACCCATAAGCACTCCCATTGACTTTGTCCCTGTGTGTGTACCACACTCCTGCCCCTGCTCTCTCCCTGTCACAAATCAGTAGTAGTCGATGC